GTAATATTCTTTTTAAGAGCTAAGTAGTTGCCTATAAGTACTTTATACTTTAATTCTCTAAGATAGACTATATTTTAATAAGTATACTTTAATTATTTCTACTTATATAACTTCTTAAGTTTATAAGTTAAGATAGCTTATTTATTTTTACCTTTAGTAGTAGTAGTTTATAAAAGCCTAGTTAGCTCTAAAATAGGCTCTAATAGCATATTACTATCTCTAATAATTAAGGCTAGATTAGTAATACCTAAAGAGGCTTTTAATAAGTCTATAAGTTTCTTAGTAAGTAGTATTACTACCTCTAGAGATATAGAAGCTAATTTCTTTTAGTTATTATTTATTACGCGTAAGAATAGTATAGCTTACTTACTACTATATTATATTATACTAAAGAGACCTACTTTAGAGCTTATTATGTTTAAATAGTATATATAAAAGTATTATAAAGTAAAGTAATTTAAATATTAAATAATAAAGTTAGTTAAATACTAGATATATAATATTAGACTATAATTAGGTATATTATTCTAAAAAGACTAGAGATAAATTACTACTAAGCTATAATAGCGATTCTAAGGTATTTATACCTATAGCTAAGTTAGCCTAGACTCTTATAGGCTAGAGCCTAATAATTACTACTTTTATTCTTTTTAATATTATTACTATAGCTTCTTTAACTAAAAAATAAGCTTTTAAGCTTTTAGTAATTTTATAAGCTTTTTAGTATTTTTTTTATATAAGTATATATACTAAAGAGTTATATAGCTTAAAAATATATAGCTACTACTTAGATACTTTATTAAGTAAGTAATACTACTATATTCTTTATAAGTTATACTAATATTTACTTAGACTTTATACTAATAGCTTAAACTTTTATCTAAAATAAGTAAGTAATAGTATATAAGCTATTAACTTAAATAAAATACTTAGTATACTAGCTTACTTATAAAAAGTAGCTACTTATATATTAGAATTACTTTAGTAGTAATAAAGAACCTTTTAATAAAATAAATACTATACTTACTTTATATAACGTAGAGGTACTACTATAAATAGACGTATAAGCTACTTAAATAATAATACTAAAGAAGATATAGAATATTAAATAAATAATAAATAATAGAATATATAAATATTTATATTGTAGATAAAGCGTTTAGAGCGTGTGTGACGTGTATTGGAAAGGGTCGAGTCATTGAAGAGCCTGTGTGTTACGACATGTCAGCGTCATATTCTTGCAATGCACAGTTGTGATACATACGAGACTTCTGTAGTTGGCGAGGGCGACCCCATACCGTGTTTCAGTATACAGCTCTTACTTCGATCGAGGTGCAACGGCGCCAGACAAGACCATAGGGTGCTGAACATCAGAAGAGGTATTCTTGGTAGCAAAGGAATCGTTGAAAATTCTAGCGGCTAGCGCCGGGGCAGATGAGTGGTGAGTGTGACAGAGTAGGAGGGAAAGAAACGCTGCAATCTTAGCCGAGTGCGAGTGCGCTAGTAGTGAGAACGTACACATTGACGAAACAGGGAAGGACAAGCATGGTTCAACTACATTTGGGTTCCTTTGCTCTGCCATGGTGTGATGAGTTCGATCACTATGATCTCGCGAGGATCAATACGTTCCGCCGTCCGCACCTCTCAGATCAAAGATATCTTTCCGACAAAGCGGACAGTCATGAGCCCTCGCATATGGCCCATTGACCTGCTTGGACAGACAATCTTCACAGAACATGTGGTTGCAGGCGATAAGTCGACGCATGCTCCGCTGTGGCTCGAGACAAATGCAACATTCCGTATCCACTACAGTCGAAAAGATGTCCAAATTGTAATGACTTGCCAAGTGTGGTGTAGCTACTGCTGTTGCTGGATGGTCTCGTAGCACTGAGACTACACCTGCGAGATGTGGCGTGGAGAGGGGAGTCTGCGAGATCGTCGGAGGGCTAATCGCTACGTCCGCAACTGGCTCGGTGTCGTGTAGTCCTTGATTGTCTGGCATATGCTCGGTGCAATAGTACCGGTCAAGTACCATGCTTTCGTAGAGAGCTCCAATACGCATACATCGATGTGAATTCCCGATAGGTTGACCTTGTGGTCTCCCAACGATGGCTTCGCAACGATCTGCATGTAAGTCGCAAAACCATTGCTGACTTTCGGTGTCAACGCAACTGCCACGTCTCCAGCCGTCTTCCGTACATGACGGGAGTCTCATGCGCGCATTCCCGATGCAGTAGCTGCACAGCCACTTATCTGAGAAGGCGTAGTATATGAGAGCCGGGTTCGGGCAGCCCCGGGCCCGCTCGCAGACGTCGGGTCGGGTACGCATATTGCGGATGATCGTCCTGGAGTATCCAAGACCACTAATGTAGATTGGGATGCAACGGCGTATATGTTGAGTGTAAGTATTCCGAAGTGATGACTGACTGACAAACAAGGGGTTTTCGCACGGGAGATTTGACAAAAGGCAGGGTCATGAGGCTGAGATTCGACGTAGCAACTCTTGCTGCAGTCTAGCCATTCATTCTTTCCGAACATCATGGCAGACGGTCAGAGCTCCTTTGAAGCTGACAATGTCCTTACAGCAGCGAAGGCGGTCCCGATGTCATGCGTCGTGATTGCTGTGCGGTAGCACTTCCGTAATGTGCATGCTAGCGAAAAGTTTGGCTCAGGATTGAGTGGCAGGCGCGCTCGCTAGGACGTGATGCATCGACCTGCGTTCTCTTAGCGGCTGTTTCGTAGTCAATAACCCGTAGAACGCGAACACGATGCCACTGCTCGCGTGTCAAATGCGCGTTAAATTCCATATTGTCCTGTGAAAATATATAAGACGCGTCAGAGTCGTAGTGATGCCAGTGCATCGCGTTGTGGTGATGGGAATGACGGAGTAAGAGTGGTGGTTCGTGATTCAACCTGAGCGCGCCCTGCTATGACGTCACCACCTTCCGCGTCTTTGCACCACTGAGAACGCAAGTTGAGACATCCACGACCTTTCATCACTTTCAAATTCGATATGATATGATGAATATCAAAGGCCTCGCGATATCATCACCAGGATGCTGGTGATGATTGCCAAGTCGTGTAGTGGAATGAGTGCATCGCAAAAATTGGGCCGGTAGGTGGGTTTGCTGTTGACTAAAGAACATATGGAAGAACGTGTTGCTTGGATAAGTAATATTAGACAATCACTTAGTGGAACGATGAAAAAGACAGCATGCACGTCTGTAAGCGGCAGAGATGAATTTGATCAGTGGATGAATACATGCATCCGCAAAGTCCAAACTGACAAACACCCGGCAATGAACCCTCAATTACACACCAGCGTAGCAAGAAGTCCAAGAATGCCCTCTTAATCGATCAGATATAGGGAAGGAAGAATGAGCCAACCACACGCCTCAGAACCCGCGGTGCTCCTGCTTCTTCGTTGGGTGCTCCCAACCTTGCGAGTGTAGACCTATCCCCGTGAGCCCATATTGGCTCTTTATCGTATCTGACACTCGTTGTGCTCGACGTGCTTGGCGAATCCAACACAATGCACCTAGCCTCTTGATTGTGTTGCCAGTCTCGAAATTGGTATTCCCTTTGGATCATCTTCCCCGATGCCGCACGAAAGTCTTCCCGACAAATAAGCATGCGTGGTGGGTGACAATTATTTTGTATCCAAATAAGCTTGGCAGCAGCGACGGGTAGAGCTGGGTAGAAAAGGTGCCATGGTGCTGTGGGCTTGTCGGTGACATCTGCTGTTCGTGCCATAAAGACTGCAATGGGCGACTTGGGTACGTGGTTGGAGAGTCTGTTGGCGATGAGGGTTTGCGCGTCGTGCAGCGTGAATGCATATATATAGGTGAAGCCATCGGGATCCGTATAGCGGGAGAATTCTATCGGACGGGGTGGCGGCAGAATCAATGATAGCGTGCGCCTTGAGGTCCCGACCGGAGCTGCATTATGTATATTCGCATGAGGATTGTCGCTATCCATGTTCTGGGTGATGTGCTATGGTGAACGAGATGTGACGTGTCCAAGTCTGATGTACATCGTTCGCTTCTTGCTACTTGCACGCGCTTCCTGCCGGATACTGGGGTATGAGTAGTTGTTGCGAAGGCGCGAGGCCTCGAGGAAGCCGCATTGAACGCGCAGAGGAAGGTGACATGGATGGACAATCACCCAGACAAGTTCACCGACAGCACTGGGACCAGCGCGTGTACAAATGGGTCTGAGATAATCTGGAGAAGTTTGAAGGGTTCGAAGGTAATGATCCACCGCAAGGATGGCGTCTCTTTGTTCCCGACGCCGTTGCTGTTCGGCCGTAATGCGGGATGAGGTTCCATGATCTGTCGTCCCACGTATGCAGACAGCCGCGACCGGCCGTGCTTGGCAGGAACGACTGGCTAGATGGATAGTCGGATTGATTTGGTCGGAAAGCCGTCTGGCCTAACACCACGGAAACAGATAGTCATGCCAGTGCAAGCCTTGTGGCACGTGAGCGTGACTCAGCAAGCACGTATATGTGTCGTTGGGTGACAGTCGCGTGGCAGGAGCGTTTAAGCTCCTTCCCGGTACGCGGGTGGGTCTTGGCGATGCAGGGATGTTGTGCCGACGAAGCGTGGGAACCTGGAAATCTGACGGCATCAGCACAAGACACCAAGCGAAGCAAATACGGAGCCCCGCAGAGTGTCTGGAGAGGGCCTACATCGAGTTTGCTAGATCGAGATCCTCCTGTTCGCCCTGAATTTTTCACTAGCCACAGCCGCTACGACGCAGCGACGCGATCCGGGCCTGCCGCTTTGGCCGCTTTCATCTGCCCCGACCGTTAAGTCCGCGCTTTCACCTACGTACACCCTCGCCCTCGATGCAGCAACCCTCGTAGCCCTGCGCCCGCGCTCCCTTCGATTATGTTCCGCCAGTCGACGCTCCCATCACTCAGGCACGTCGCGTGCACTCGCGACCACCTCGTTCGATAATCCTCGACTCGGTCAATGGCATACGGTTGAAGCAGCATAATGGCTCTGCCAACCCTCCAGTTCCTCGCGGGGCTCGTGCTCCTCATATACCTGCTCTCCTTTGTCCTATTCGCCTTTATACGCATAGCTACCGGGGTCTCCATACAGCGCCTGGGCTTACGGGGCCTGCGACGCATCGCCTTCACGCCCAAGGATGGCCTGCGCATCGAGATCCGCGGACTCGGTTTCACCCTTCACCGACCCACATTCGCACAACCCACGGTAGTCAGCATCGTCCTGCACGAGCTCAAAGTCACGGTCGACCTCAAAGCGCTGGGAGAGAAGCCGCGGAAGAAGACGGGATGGGCCCATTGGGCAAACGGCACTACACAAAAGGGCAAGAGCGGCCAGAACACGCCCGAGCCCGTGGCGGAGGATGACGACCTGGGCGATGACGAGACACCGCGAAGCCTGACGTGGAAGCGGCTGACAGATGCCAAAGAGAAGATCAAGCGCCTGCACCGGAACATCAACTGGCTCAGGCAGGTCGATGTCGTGGCGCACGCGACCACCCTGGTCGTAGTCGATGTGGGCTCCATCCAGGTCGGCGGCCTCAACCTGGCAGTCGACACACGGCGCAAGACGGTCGATCGCAGTCGCCTCTTCAACCATCACAAGCCCAAGTCCGACGAGGAGCAGTGGCCAGCCGAATGGCTCTTCTCCGCCCGCAGCATCCTGTTCACGCCGGAGGGCAGAGAATCGACAGAACTCCTGGATCACTGCACCCTCAACGTCCACGGCTTCCTCAAGAAAGGCCTCGAGGGTCTGCGCGATGCGTCCATCGCACTCAAGCTGGGTCGCCTCCTCATTCCACTCGATGATGTCAAGCTGTGCATGGAGAGGGCCCAAAAGTGTCGCGCGCCTAGCCCTCGAAAGCGTTCTCGGGGCAGTCGGACACATGTATCGCTTAGCGATGTGATGGAAGAGCTCGACGACCCCAACAGCCGCGAAGAAAACCTTGTTCGTACCGTATCCGACTCGCGTGAGTTCGCCAGCTCCATCCTCCGCGGTATCCATGAATTTCAGTTCGCGATTGGCTTCCTCGGCCTCACCAAGCAGATCGAAATGGGCCACAGCTCCGAGCCTCCAGTCTACCTTAATCTCTCCATGAAGGAAGTCGGTATGGACCTCCTCCGCCTCGATCCTCGCAGTCCCGCGCATCTCATGTACTTCTCGCCTGACGACATTGCCCACCAGGCTCTCCTTGCCGCCATATCCATATCTGTCGGAATTGACAACAGCGATGGCCATCCCGAGCGCCTCCTCTACATTCCTATGGCGACCATGACCCTGAACACGACCCTTCCTTCTAAAACTATTCATTTCTCTAATGACAAAGATAGCGCCGAGCGCAACACCAACATACTATTCGCCAACCTGGTCGTCACATCCCCATCTCTGGATCTTGACCCCAAGCATCTACCACTACTCCTCGCCATTTTCCACAACTACGAGCTGCACCGCAAACCGCCTGAAACCAGACAACGTAAGCGATATCTGTTTCGCCGGCTCTTGCCCAAAGCAAACATCAAAATTTCTATCCATGAGCCTGTTATTAGGGTCACTCTTCCACCGATGGACCCCGACAAGCATGAGGCCGACGAGTTCGATCTGCTCATCTCTGCATCTTCCTCAATTTCCTTGGATATGGAATCATCGCACTCTGCAGATGGCGAGTTACATTATGCACTGAGCTCGACGTTCCGTATGAACGCACAGCAACTCTACTACCAGACTGCAGCCATCGAGAAGCACAACTTGCTCCTGACCGACTATCTCGAAGTCAAGGTCCAGATGAGTGCGGCTCCCGACCCAGTTGTGGAGGTCTGGGGCACCGCACAAACTTTCTCTCTCTACATGGTTCGGCCTGAGATCAGTGAAGGACTGCGGCAGATCGTCACACAGATGTCCAATGACATGGGCCGTCGGCGTAGCCCTCCCAGAAAGAAGGGCGTCAACGTACTCCGGAGACTACCGGCCTGGATGACATACGTACATCTCCAAGGATCGGACTTCAACGTGGACGTCGCTGGAATAGATCCTGATGTATCTAAACAAAGTCGAGGAGTTGCTCTGCATTTGGAATCTTGGACTGCCGAATACAAAACTGGCCGGGAAGAAGACATAGATCTAAGACCTGCAAGACGGCGCGCACCAAGTAGAAGCATCAATCGCGAGGAGCATCTGCTTAGATCACCACCTCCATCTTCGCCGAAGTCACCGAAAGGAACATTGAACGGCCCAACCGATGGTAGACGTCTTGCGTTACATTTCTACGGGTTGGAAGGCTTGGTCATCGAGGGCGACGAGCAATCGGAACAAGAACCAACGTTGTCGCTGCCCCGTATGGAGATTGCTCTACACACGCTCTCCGATAAACAGGGCCCGATATTTCACGTGCACTCTTACAGCCAAAACCTCTTTTTGCGTTATTCGCTCTATCGTCACTTTGCCTTGTGCATGGCAATGCAGGTCCTGCAGAGGTCTTTTGATTGGGGTGCGGGCAAGACCAAGGCTCCAGAGCCAAGCTTGTCCAGCTCGCCACGGCATCTCTCCGTACCGTCGTTGGGTGAGGATGTCGTTGACCCACCCAGTACAGCCGGCAACGAGATCGTGACGATCGATGTCAAATCTCACTTTTTACAGATCAAAGCAGACATGCCTGGAGATCCACCTCTCATGCTCCAGATCTATGGACTTGAGGCAGGAAAGCATCGCTGGGCCAGCCCCTTCCTTCGCGCACGTCTCGTGCGACTGTTCGCCGAGAACCCTGCCATCAAACGCGCTTGGAGTCGAATCGTCAGTGTCAAATCTTTACGGTTGGATTATCGCCAGTCCAAGCTCAGGTACGGTCATACAGTAACGAACGAAAAGTCATTCGATATCGCGACGGACGCGATAAGAATCGCCGTGCCTCATCAACTCGTCATGCACAAGATCTTCGACAACGTCGCAAACGTTGCGAAGACTGCCAAGCAAGTGCATCATCGCTTCAAGACCGGAACTAATGAGTACGTACTGGACAAAGAAGCCGAAGGTCCCAAGATCGTACCAAAGATATCGCTTCGAAGCCGCGCTGTCCTCTTTGAGCTGGAAGACAACGCCTTCGAATGGAAGCTTGGAACTATCTACCGCATTGGACTCATGGAGCAGAAGCAGAGGCTTGCTCGTGAACATGCCTTTGATCTCAAAGTGCGGAAACTACAACAGCAAGACGAACAACGTGGCGGTACACGCTACCGCGCAAGATCAGCACATGATCCCCGGGGCCGAAACAAGATCAAGAAAAGGGACAAAGAGCTCAGGTTCCACCGGCGCACGAAGAGCGCGGACTCGAGCGGACATAGCTCACCGGAACGGGGACGTTCAGATCATCCTATGCGGTATAACAAGGATGGTTTTAGCGGTCTTAGTGGGTCATATGAAACATCGGTACAGGACGCGCGCGTGAAGCTCAATCGCCTGAACGCTCAGACGTGGAAAAAGCGCATCGATTTCGCAATGGCAACTCAGAATCGATCCATGAACGACATCCGCTCAACATTCTGGGGCTTAGATGAACTGCCGGATGACATTGAGCAGAAGGAAACCATTCTTGCTGTCTCGCAACGCCCAGCCCTGATGGCGCTGGCTGTCAGTGACCTGGAGATTGTCATTGATAAGCCCTCATTCCCCATTTCGGAGTACCCACGCTTCCTGCACCGTGTCGGCAAAGGTATGCCATTCGATACCCAGTACGCTCTTTTGATCCCCATGCACGTTCAAATACAGATGGGAGAAGCCAAGATCCACCTTCGCGATTATCCGCTGCCACTATTGCACTTCCCAGCTATCGGCAATATACAGTCGTCCCGGCTACCGAGCGTCCTGATGAAGACAGATTTCGTGATAGCAGAAGAGTTTAGGGACGTCGAATCTTCCCGCGTCAGCCGAGTTGTTGTCGTGCCTCAGGAGCGGAATTCTGCAGGCGAACTCACGCGTGGATATGCGGTAGACGTTCGTCGGACTGTGGCGCCCGTGAAGACATACTCTGACATGGCGATCGATATCAACTCAGCATACCCGACAAGGATCACTTGGGGCACGTCGTACCAGCCAGCAATCCAGGATATGATGCAAATCATTGAGAATTTCACAAAGCCAGCGGTAGACCCCTCAGAGAGGGTTGGATTCTGGGACAAGATTAGGTTGACCTTCCACTCGCGCATCAACGTGTCGTGGAAGGGCGATGGCGACGTCCATCTGATTCTCAAAGGTAAGACACAACACATCCTGTATAATCACTCTACTAACGGAATGCAGGTTCACGCGATCCGTACATGGTCACAGGTCACGGTGCGGGCTTTGTCATGTGCTGGCAAAACGACGTGCAACTCAGCATTGCTGAGGACGAAGATCCTAAAAACTTCATGATCGTCAAGAGCGGAAGCTACGTGCTCGCCATCCCGGATCTCAATCACTTTGCTCGTCACGACGCGGAGACTGAAGCTGTGGCCCGTCCAGATACTGCATCGAGCATGTCTAGTCGTAGGCAGAGAGCCGTCTTCAAGAAAACAGTAATGAAATTGAACGGCAATGTGCGCTGGGTTGCCGGACTGGTATTTGAGCGCAACCTGGACGACGGCGGCCGTTCCTTCAACTTCATACCCCACTACAATGTCACCCTCAAGAATCCAAAGTATGCGAAAGCATCCAATGGAAAGGTAATCAACCCGTCCCTTGAATTTGAAGCTCTTGCTGACATCGTGCAGGAGTATGACGCCTTCCGAGGCTTCCGCAGTCACCACATCCACATGTCTATCGCTATCGCTGCTCCATACGATCGAGAATGGTCTGTCGCCAACTTAGAACCATCAAAGACCTACAACAGTGTGCATCTCTCACCACGCTTCTTCACACACTTCTACAGCTGGTGGTCGATGTTCTCCGGTGCCATGTCATTGCCCGTACGCCAGGGCAAGCTGTGGCCAGGAGTAGAGAAGTCTAGCAAGAAATTCGGGCGGCACCTTGCAACCATCAAGTACAACCTCTTGCTATCGCCTCTGTACATGAGCCATATCTACAAGCACAAAGATGCGGAAGACTATGGTGCAGGCGTTGTGGCCGCCACTGGACTGAAGGCCCGTCTCGACAGTTTCATGTTCGATCTCCATCAGCGCCGCGAAGAATTCCGAACTTTGGTTCAAGCGCCTGAAGGCCAACAAAACAGCAGGCAAAACAAGACGACTGGTATGCGCATCAATCAAGTACAGCTTGACCTCATCCGGACAGACATCCGAGCGGTGTCTGCAAGCATTGCAGGAACAGGCTCTGAAGATGTTGATAACGCCACCGCGGATGATCTCGCTAGCTACAACCAGGAGTATCTAACAGCCGACTTGTCGAAGTTTACGATTCCCGACAACGATCTAGGCTGGGTCGATATGGACGACTTCATTGAACTTGGCTGGATCTTGCCGTCACGCCGGCATCCGGAAACACAGATTCTCCCGCTAGCATTCGCGCCACGATTTACGTACTTCCGTCAAACCGATCATGCCAACAACATTTCGGGCGACAAACACCGCAAGAGCGCATTCGGTAACGAGCCGACTCATCATTGTGTCATTTCGGCAAGGAATGACCCACGTCGGGTACAATGTCAATTGATTGAGCAACGGATTGAACGTGTGAAAGAGCAGGTTGCTCTTAATCAGCACGCAATCAATGACCAAGAATTAAAAGTCGTTCGTGAGACGTCAGACATGCAACAAGAGTCGCAACGCCGTCTTGAGGCTCTGCGTAATCATTCCCAGTTCCTTCAACGGAAACTAGAATTCCTCTCTACCATGCATGCTAGTCTGCTGGAGCGGCTAGAAACTGCCGCGTCTTCACCAGACAACACTGTCGTAGAGGCTGATACCGACACAGAAGATGAGTATTTTGAAGCAGACGAAGCTCAAAATGCTATCGACCCTGAACACAAGCACGCCGATGCGCCTCCTAACCCTATCACGGACTTCACCAATGACTTCAACAACCGATTCATCATTCACAACATCCACCTGAAGTGGGGCAACTCCCTACGGAACATCATACTCCGCTACATACACCAAGTCAGTCAACGTCGAGGATTCGTCTACTACATGTCACGAAGGGCAGTAAAGTTCATACTCGATGTTGTTGAAGAGCAGAATAAGTCTCGTGGACCATCTACATCTGGACCTGACGAAACACCCATGGCTGGCGACAACGAGGCCGGACTGAATATTGATGAAACAATCGAGCAGTTGCTTCGCGACGGCAGGAATTTTGTCGACGCTGATGAGGAAGACGCTAAAAGCAAGAGCACCAACGGTGCTGGTGACTCTTCACATGCGAATCCGACAAAAGCGGATGAAGATGTCGCGGACGATTACGTCTCTCAGAACTCGTATCTCGTACGTTTGATTGCACCGCAGATCCAATTGCAGAGCGAGAAAGACACCAAGTCTGCGGTACTTGTCACGGCCAAAGGCATGCAGCTCAAGGTTCTACAAATCATGGACAAGGACCGTGTCATGGACGAGGTCTCGGGTCTCGTTCAACGAAGGTTCATCGCAGCTATGGACAGCTTGCAAATCTTCGTCACCAACTCAAAGACCTTTAGCAGTCCGGAGGATATCCACATGTACTCCGGAAGCATGTACGGAACGCCAGCTGGCTCAGCGTGGCCACCATGGGTACCTTTCGAGGTCATGTTCGAGTTCCATAGCAATCCATTCGGCTTCCAGCGGGTGGTACAGCGAACTTCAGCCAGTATGCGCTACGACAAGCACAACGCGCTGCGCCTGAAGTACAACGACGATGTCTCGGCTGCCGACTCGGCCACATCTGCTGACAACATGGAGAGCCGTATTGACCATCTATGGGTGGACTTCCCACACGTGCGGGCCCTGTGCGATTCCAGGCAGTACTATGCGATGTACGTCATCGTGTTAGATCTTTTGCTGTACCACGAGCCTTTGGAAAAGACGCGTAATGAGCGACTTGAGAAGATCATGCTTGCTTCCGACTTCACCGATCTCGCAGGAGCTCCAAAGCTAGTCATGGGTCTTCAAGAGCGTATCCAGCAATTAGAAGAGATCAAAAATGTCTTCCAGATCAATGAGAAATACCTGGACAAGCAAGGTTGGGAAGACCGGATTGAAGTTGAGAAAGACTTGGCTGTCTACGAGGACGAGCTCTTCTTCGTCATGAAGGCGATCACGACCGCACAACGCAAGCAAGACGATCGTGCTCAAGCAAGAGATTCAACTGGCCTTTTGCGGATGTATGTCTCTGCATCAGACATCGTTTGGCATCTGCTTCGCGAAGGCGCAGAGTCACTAGCAGAATTCCAACTGAAGAACGTCGCATTCGACCGCACAGACAACAACGATGGATCCAACTCGAACTCTTTGGAGATTGAGCAAGTGCGAGGTCTGAACTTGCTACCTAACGCCCTATACCCAGAGATGATTTCACCTTTCCTGGAGCAAGATCAGACTCTTCCGGAAAACGCCAAATGCCTCAAGGTGTACTTTGTGGCGCTTGAATCGATCGCTGGTATCCCTGTCGTGGAGCACTTTGAAGTTGAGTTGTACCCACTGAAAGTGCAGTTGGAGTACCAGATCGGCAAGAAGCTGTTGCAATATGTCTTCCCTACGTACGGCGACAGCAAGACAGCAAACTCGTCGCCCTTCTTACTCAAGCATACTCTGCCGACTCAGGATGAGGAAGACGAAGAAACCGATAGCATCATTTCTGGAGCGACAAGTATGAGCGCCTCGCTTGCAGCTGATGACGGCGCTGTGGAGGCGCTCAAACAACGGCTTACACCCACACTCCAGCTGCCTGATCCAGTACAGAAGTCTGACGCAAAGAGGAAGAGTTTGGTTAAGCGCCCAAGCGCTCACTATTTCCGTTTCTTCAAAGACAGCAATCCTTCCCGTAGTGGAACAGAGCTTCGCCGCACTCTTCACCCGAGCTCCGCTTTGGTGGTTCCCACATTGGGTAACAGCTCCAATACCTCTACAAGACCAAGCTCCGTCCGTTCAAGTACCACCAACTCAAGTCAGACCCTGAACGAGTCTGATCGAACCGCGAAACGCTTTGCGCTCTACCGCACCGGCACCAATCTGACGGAGAAGAAAACGAACAAGAAGGAAGCCATAAGTGATGATCTGACTGAGATGATGAGTCGTGCAAGCGAGTACATGACAGTTGCTTACTTCAAGATCCCGTCCATGGTACTGTGTCTTTCTTACAAGGGCAAGAGCACACGCAACTTTGAAGATGTCCACGATCTGGTCTTCCGGATGCCTACGATAGAGTACCGCAACAAGACATGGTCTAACCTGGATCTCGTGACGCAACTCAAGAAAGACGTCCTGAGGGCGCTCCTCTCCCACGCCGGTACAATCGTTGGCAACAAAATCTCGCACCACCGACCCTCAGCCAAAGCACAGTCGCGCCTTCGACAACTCGCCAACAGCAGCACGATGCTCAACACTTCTCCCGATCTCTCAGGCACCGACTCAAATTCCATGCGCGACCACTCACCCGGTGGCTCCGACCTCTCAGCCGAAGACCGCATGCCCCGCCGTTCTTTCGCATCCGGCCGCCAAGGTAGTCTCATCAGCACCGTCTCGGAAGAAGGCTCGTCTCTCCAGTCATCAAAACCACCTTCAACCTCCAACCAAGCGCGCTCGACACACGGTTCCATCATGGGTGGCTTGAATCATCACAGCAACGGACTAGGCCCCGAAGACGTGGATGACGGTCGCGCCTTTGCTGATGAGCTGTCCAGAGTAGACAACACAGAGCCAGTCCACGCAAACCTCATTCATAGCTTGAGTAAACACATCGCTGGAGTTAGCGCACCCTTTGCCGGACACATGCGAGGCAGAGCGGGTAGCGGCGCAGCCAGCATGAGAGCAGCCAGCGTGGCCACTGGTATTAGTGGCGTCAGTGGTATGAGCGGACGGGAAGGCAGCGTGATGGAAGAAGACACCGATGGTCCGAAAACGAAGAAAGCGAAGGCTCTAGGCAAGAAGTTGCTTGGTAGGGGGAACTAGAAGCTTCCCTAACATCACTCTTTTCCTTTTTTGTTCTGCATCATCATCACTAGCATTATTTGGCGTTTTTTTGTTTCATTTGTAAATACTTGGTTTTAGACGGTGTTGTAGCAGGCAGAGCTCTTTCTTAGTTTTGTCTTTGTATCATAGCGTTGCGTGAACTGGTGTCCTGGAGGTGTTGGAGTAGATAGTTCCCTGTATACTCTGTCGTGGAGGTCTAGTATTAAGTGAAAAAGATTACAATCCTGTCTTCGTGTCTTCCAGTGACTCGCGCTGTTTGGGATGGGCATGCTCATTCTCAACAACGGTCCTTGTTCGTGAAGTCGCGAACAGTGTTACCCATATCTTGCTGAGTGGCGTAGCTGACGCGACGTGAGGACGCGACAGGTTCGCGTTTGGCGGGGCTGGTCGGTGCGCGTGGGAAACGTCATTGCGGCACCAAGCATTGCCAGCTCCAAGTCGCGACTTCCGTTTCTTCTTCCTGCCATCATCTCCGTGATAGAGGGCGACGCTGGCACATCGAACTCGTGCGCTTTCTCACTCAACTTCGGTCACTTACGGCTACATTCTCATCTACGCTTTCATCCCTCTCGCTTGGTATACATCTGCGTTTGACTTTGGAGTCAAAAAAGAGTATGACAGCGACCAGCGGCCTTCGAAAAGAAGCACGCAGATTCGGATTTCCATGCAGATTGCATCTTGTCAACGCCTGGCCTTGAGGGTTCTCCGCAATGTTCCGAGACTGGAGTTGATCGTTCCTGCCTGGCGGCTTCGAAGACACTGAAATGCAGACCCTAACGCGAAGCAAGGGCTGATAGTCCACTACTTGTGTTAACACATTCTTTGCTACACAACTATCAGTGAGGGTATCACTTACATATGTAGGCAACTACTCCCTAGGCTGCGCCATCCGTCTGTTCTGCAATTGGAGTGAGCTGCATCCATTCAATGGCTTCAATCATCGCCAAACGTCAGATTCGCCATGGGTACGGCATTGAAGCCGCCACCCTGACCATTCGACTACCCGGTACCTATAATTCATACGACCGATATCTGCGCTACCTTTGTGTGCACGGCCATCAATGCGCAATTCACGCTGTGTTGCTGGTCCACACCGTTGGACAGTGCATTCATGGTGCTCCCTTTACCGATACATACAATGCCTAACCCCATTGGATCTCACGATCATAGTTCGCCTAAGTCTCCGCACCAATTTCTCAACTCCGTCAAGAAGCGTAGCGAAAGTTAACTAGGGTCTTCCGCAGCATATCGAAAATCAAAATCATCGACCGCTCCAATGTCGAATTCTCCATTTTTCACGACCTTGCCAACCGAAGTCCGCGATATCATCTATGACTACCTCTGGAGCGATACAAAGACCTTTGTCCAGCGGTATGATACCAAAGACTACAAGGTAACCTATGACCGAAGGCACGACTCGGTTGAAGCACCATCTGCTGTTGACAAAATCCCATGGCTTCTTACCAGCAAGCAAATGATGCGCGAAGGCATCCGGCAGCTACACCAGAAGTCAACGTGGCACCTGGATAATCGACTGTCAGATACATATCCCCAAAGCTATATCTTAGACGCCATCGCTCCATCAGAGTGCCACACGCACGAGATCTTCATCCAGTGCGACTGGCCGATGATCTTCGATGACGTGAACCGAGTCTATCGGCTCAGCGAAGTAGCACGGGCTGAGATCAATAGAAGCGCTGCGACGGCTAATGTATCGACTCCGCTAGACACTGTTTGCATCAAACTCGTCCGCCCAACCAATGAACGACTAGCTGCCAACAGCGCGGCAGACTTTAGCTTTAACCTCTATGGCCTCGAAATCTTATCTAGTCATGCCGAGCTTCGTCGTCTCCAGGTTCACCTCGTTGGCGTCGTTGATGACACTAAAATGCTTGTGTGGTATTGGAGTTTGCGGGGGGAGACCGACAGCGCAAACAAAGCTAGGCGTCTGGAAGATCATTACTTAGATGCTTGGAAGAAAGAGCTCTCTCGTGCGGCTGAGCTCATAATTCCCAAGAGTAAGCGCACTGGATACATGAAGGAGTTTACCAAGAACGATGGTGACCGTTGTCTGGAGTGGGTTTGGACGTTCGAGAAACAAAAGTCAAACCATTGAGCTTAGTAGATGGTGAGGAGAACACGTGCAAGTTTTCGAGCAGAACATACACAGTGTAGTTTATACATTTCGAGGGACTCAAATAGGACAACTTGTAGGATTCTAAGCACACAGGAACAAGATCTGTCGCAGATAAGAAAACGCTTAATGTTGAGATCTAAGCATCTCTTAACATAGAAATGATATTGGGCTAGCCACCTAATTATTCGCAGGCTGACCCTTCAGAACGTCCTTGACGATGTCGCTCAACTTTACTTTCCCTTCAGCAACCTCATCAACCGAGTCCCGCACCTCTTCCCACTCCTCATTCCTGACTTTCCCCAATTTCTCCTTAGCGAATACCCCGATAGCAGCCCATACGCCCTCCAAGTCTCGCGCATCCCGCTGCATAAACTTCCTCACCTCTTCTGGCGCACCATCTTTGAGATACGTTCGCACGAGCCTTGTCATCTTCCCTCCTGGCTTGCCATCGTATACATTTTCATGCTCGTAGCACCTATCGATGAGCTTTCGAATCAAAGAGGCCAGAGCTTCGACATCTTCTTCCTCTGCCCGAGCCTTGCGTTCAAGCCCATCTGGAGAGTCCGTAGGATCATGGATGCAGCTCTTCGCAAATCCTACGAGACTGATTTTAGGTCGTTTAGCAATGGTAGCCTCGCCATTCTTCTCTTCTTCGTAGGGAAAGCTGATAAGAATGTCCTCCGCTAAAACACTGCCATGTGTGATAGTCGGTTTACATTCGCGGTGTAGGAAGTAGATTGTCTCGTAGAGCTGCGTAATGACAAGCCAGAGTAGGCATTTTGGAAGCTTATCCCTAGTATCGAACACGAAGAGTCCTTCAAGATCACTAGATACTGGTGAGCTTGCCATGACCAGCCAACCCGGTTCCCCCTGGGCCATGGCTTCCATGTCGTAGTGGTCTAATACCTCGATGCAGTGCTCACCACCGCTGCGAGGATACGCTTGGCGGCGTATCTCTTGGAGAATGCGTAATTCGGAATGCATCGTAGGCTGGGTAGAGCCTTCTCCGGGAATCTTTACTGCAACGACGCGCCTAAGGAGTGCATCGACGACTGAGTCCTCTTGGGCGTTCGCAGCCAGTTTGGAACGCGCATCATCGATGTCGGAGGTGGGAACACACAGACTGACAAAACAGTACGTAGACGAAGCAGCGTCACGAAGCCAGGTGTATTTTTCGGGCATCTGTGGGGGCCTGTCGCCCGAAGCGTCGTTGAGTGCTTCAGACATTCTAGTGTGGACCGCTGTGAGTAGGGTCGAATTTTGTGGATGTGATGAACACCGAAGGAGCGATGATGCCTTAATAAAGCGTGCCAGAAGTTTGTGACTTTCGTCACAATAGCACAAACCATCGTCGTGCGTGCGCATCATTCGCAATCAACGTCCAGCAAGCCTCTTCTTCATGGTCTTCGTCTCATTTGTCTGGCATCATCTGGCGTCGCACTCCCTAAGCTTTGCCCTATACCACGGCTTAGCAATCTTAGCAATCTCAATCTTCAACGCCGCCTCATCCACCCCATGCTCTTTGATATGTCCCTTCTCTTCCTCCAAAATATCATGTTGTATCCACTTCAAAAAATCGCCGAGTGCTCTCACACCCCGCTGTACACCTTTCTCGCGCAGCACATCCCAGCCTTGGTCTAACCGCTGCTGTGAACACCACGCAACTGCTACCGTTGCGGCTGCTTTTCTTCGCTCTTTGACGATATCGGAGCCTTCATGTGGCTTTGGAACGCGGAAGAAAGTGGGTTTGAATTTTCCTCCTTTACTTTTGAACCAGAGAGAGGTGTCGGCGTTGTACTGGGGAGCGACGGGTTTCCAGACAATGCCCTCGCCCAAGCCATATATACCGAAGGATGATGCAAAAGGACAGTGAGCGGCGACTTCTTCGGTCATGCGTTCGATTTCTGATACTGTACGCTCGTAGTCGTCCGGATAGAGTTTTGCGTGAAAGATGCCGGCTCTTGATGCGTTGTAGATGCCATGAGCCGGCAAAGAGATATCAGAGTATTCTTCGTCCTTCTGCCATGTACCATTGATGTTGACCGAGACGATGACGAAGCGACGTGATAGTTGTGCGATGGCGACGTCTTTCTGGATCTTCTCGCCTATCCATTCCCCAGCTACCACGACGGGCAAGTCTTCTTTCACTGTCTTGCTAGGGTTTAGCTCTTTCCATCTTTCCAGATACATGTCGCGTAATCCCATTATGACCTTGTTCTTCTCTGACATAGTTGCCGCAAACCCTTGGTTGTCTTTCTCAACGGACAGACCAACTAAATTTCGCGACTGGAAAACGATGCGATTGTTCGGGTATACTAGGATATCTGCGTGCGTGCCATGAAGCTTGACAGTACCCACGAAAGGTACTGGGTCCACAGTAATGTTCGCTTGTGGATGGGCAGGGTCGCGGTTCATGCGCCGCAGCTGCTCGATGATCTCGGGAATGTGTGTCGTAATCTTGGGGTACAGAGTGGACTGGGCGGGGTCTGTGTTGGCCATGATGGGTAAATCTGCTTCTGCGGAAGATTTCACACTGGTTCGACAGCCTCCTGGGATGGCTGAAAACGCCGCGATGACATCAAGTGCCGTCTTACTGTGCGGCGATCCGCCTGCGTTGCGCTGCGATTCTCCTGATCGTGGTTGATTGGTGCTGACATGAAGGTGTTTCTTGAAAGTCCACACATGAGATGAAAAATGTGATGAAGAGGTTTGTGAGTCAAGACAGGCGCAGCTGTATCGCTCAGAAGCTGCGGCGTTGCGACCCCGTTATCGATACGCGGCTGTCAGCACTACGATCTTCAACACGTCGCGGCACCTCGAACCTAGCGTATCAAAAACCATGTTTAAACGCGAATAACCGCTATCATGTGAACTGCCGACCGTGCCATCACAATTGACACAGCAAAGTTACGTTCGAGCTGCGATTTTCTTAGGCAAATTTGAATCATTGTATCAATCATGACAGCTAGTCTCTATAGCGTTGATTATGTGACATCATCCAATCTTCTAATGCGATTGCTCAAGCAGGTCATGAGATCTCTGCTAAATTCTACGTTCTAACCCGTCATGATGCTTCCACCTTCTTCCCGTCCGGTTGGCCATCCTTCTTCTTGTCGTCTTTGTGCAACTCCGGGTTTAGTGGATACTTGGAGTCATAACCGACTCTTTTGACAATACCCAGTCCTTTCGTCCTGCCCTCACGGAAGAGTATCCGATCGCCGACAGTTAAGTACTCCGGTCGCTGTACGAAGCGGAAGGCTACCTGTGCTCGGTCGCCGGTGCGGATGTACTGGCGGTCAATGTCGATGATGGCGCAGGTCTGGGACACTGGTCCAACGTGTAGCATAGCCTGATACTTTGTCTTGATAGTCGTCGCGTGCGACAAGATCAAGACTTCAGCAACGAACTCGCGGTACACTTTCGGGGCTGGTAATATGCCAGTCGTCGGGTCTGGCTTTTCAGCCTTGTGCAAAACGACCATGCCTTTTCGCACGTCTTTCCGCCGAACGTTGCGCAGTGCGAGACTAGCAGACTGGCCAGCGGAGCATCCTGGAACTTGTATCCGTTTGCGCTCGACGGAACGCACCTTTGTCGTTTGGAACTGCCCAAGACTGTCGGGACCGATCAAAACTGTGTCACCAGAATGTATTTCACCAGACTTGACAACACCTGAAACCACAGTACCAACGAAGGGTACCGAGAATGTGTCGTTGACGTGGAATTCCAGAGGAGCAGAGGCGTCGTAATTGCCGTGATGTGGTAGTGCGTTGAGGAACATGCGTACCAGGTCCAGGTTATGACCAGTGACATTAGAAACTTGGAAGATAGGACATATGCGACTCGACACAAATTGGGTAGCGGTGGTGATGCATTCCTCCCTATTGTTGATGAATACCGGTATCTTTCGCGCTCCTGGAGATTTGAGGATCTTGGAAAGCTGAGTTATAGTCTGTTCAAGGATCTGTGGTGGGCAAATGTCGATTTTGGTGATAACGACCATGACGGGGACGTTGAGCGCAAGAGCGATTCCGAGATGCTCTTTACTCATGCCCACTAAACCGTTGTTTGCCGCGATCATCAACAGACAGTAGTTGGGCTCGCTGGACAGCAGCCCAAAGACGGTAGTCCGCAAGTATCTCTCGTGACCAGCGAGATCAGTGAAGCTGATGACTTTGGCGGATCGCCGTCCGATCTCTTCCCAAGTAAGTTTTCGACCTGCGACGTTCGACACAACGACTTCGCTCTTGCTGTCAAAGCCCATTATCTCCATGCCGACTGAGCTGGTTCGACCACTCTCGATTTCGTGTTTGTGGCGGAAGAGGTTGACGCGCGCTTTTCCGCGGCCATCGTCGAGGCCGCCTTTGACGAGGACACCGAGCATGGTACTTTTGCCAGCGTCGACTGTCAATCGTCAGTGTATATTCTCAATTGCGCCGGTAAACACTCACCGTTTCCTACAACTGCTATCCTCGTCTCGATCACGTCGTCGACACTCTGCGGCTGTTGTCGCAAGATCATCTTGCCACTTAAGCCAAGCTCCTTCGCATTGCGAGGTCCGACTTCGACGTCACCGCCAACGTTTCGCGTCATGAGCATCTTGTAGTCGGCTTTGATCTTCTCGCAGGCGACTCGTATCCTCTCCAAGGCAAACTTCCACTGGTCCTCAGTGAAGCCCATGGAGTCACCGCTGTCTTCCAGGCCAACATCGAACAGGGCCTCCCCATGGCCCTCGGCCAGGCGCCCCTGGATATGCTCAGCGAGCGCTGCGACGTTCTCTTCGGCGGAGTCGGTAAGGAGCGTCCTTAGGCGGATGTGCGCCTTGTTGTCATCGGAGAGGCCGAGCTCATCGAGGATGCTCAGCTCATCGTGGTCTTCGAGGACGGCGGGGGCTTGGCCTGGCGGTCGGCGCAGCGCCTGTTGTTTCTGGACGTAGTCGGCGAATTCGCTGAGCGCCTGGTATGTACATTAGCTTGAGTACGTCTTCTGGAGCCTCAATGGGTGATCCGTCTAAAGTACGATGCGATCGCCTTCGTGCTACAGGAAGCCACATTTCCCTGGTTGTACTACTCGGCGCAAACCGTGAGCCAACGGAATTGGTTTTTCCCGTACCATACTCGTTGCAGTATAAGAAAGCCGAATAGGTCTGGGTACAACCGGGGTACAGCTTGGGGTAGACGGGCTTCCCTTGGGTTGTTACTCACAGATTCGCCCTTCCGCCGCTCAGCTGGGCTCTGCTTAGGCTCGTGTCGGGAGGCCATATTATGCGAAATAGCACGTGATTATGAAATATCCACCGGTAAACCTAGGCTGAAGGTATTCGTAGCGACCGATGTACGTGGTGTGATGTAGGTATGAATGTGGGGTTGGGGCTGTCAGGACGTGTTCCGTAAACACCGCCGTATTAATAAGACGTTTGGTATTCGCGGGAGCTGGAAGGAGTGTGAATATTCCATGAGTTGTCTTGCAGTGAGCATCGAAGGGTGGCAAGTGCTGGAATGGCGCTGGCAATGGCGATGAGGAGCTGCTAGGAAGATCCGGGGGCCTACTTATCGATAGAAGGCCGCCGGAGCCATGACGCTGAGACTCACGCGGTAGCGCGTCTTGACTCATCCCAGAACCACCACCATTACACCACTCACAGCCTCCGTGGTGGTCCACAATCACCGCGGCGTCATCCGTAGTGTTGTCGCTACAGTCATACGATACGTGTTTACGCCCTCGCATCGCTGAGTTTACGCGAGTCATCACTAAAAAGGGCGGAACACGAAAATGTCACGACTAGGCAGCACTCCAACAAAGGCGCACATGATAAAGAAGGCACAAAGTAAATGCATCATGGTTTGGCTATGAATTACAAGAGAACGGGTCGTGCCGTCGACGAGGGAAGCATGCCCTCTCATGATGCCGCAACACCTCGTTCCCCGCAGTACTTCTCCACCTCTTTCCTCAGCGACTCGCGCTGGTGGTTGACTGTGTCCATGATATCGCTGACACCGTTGATCGTCTTGCAATACTCAAAGGTCTCCGCCATTTGCATGAGTACCGCTGTCAGCTGGTTGGGTAGCCACTATCACGCGTCAGTAAGAGCAAGGATCGTCGAGCCAAGGAAGCACTTACAGTCACGATCGGGCTGCCACCTGTCGCAGTCGGGTGCGAAGTGTGCTTGAGGATGTACTCGCGGGTGAAGCACCAATGCCGCCAGCGGAAGTCGCGAACTTGATCAAGAGCTTGGAGATAGAGCGCGGCCGACACGGAGTCGCCTTTCGCAAACTCGCGCACGCCCGACTGCTGAGCGCAATCACGAACAGCCTCCAGGAACTCGCGGTGGTTGCCAGGGCGATACTGGCGGAAGTCCTTCAGAATGTCTGTGAGGGGTGTCTCCGGCATCTGCACCTGAAGCAGGTTGTCGCACATGGGAATCATGCTGTCGTTGGCACCAGACTCGCCGCGGAAAGACATTGGCTCTTCGCTCACGCCCTCGTATATCACACCATTGGGAAACATGGATTGCGATGTGATGCCAAAGATGAACGTACGGAAGTTGGTGTAGCCTTGGGGCTTGCTACGATTCCACATGGCTAATCTCGTCAGTTGCGAATGCATGCACTCAAGCAATGCACTTACTGTTCATTACGGCGTTGACGTTCCTGAGACCACCCACCAGGGTACGAAGGCCGTCGTTGAATCGCTCTCGATCCTTACCCAGACAGCTCTCAAGCATCTCAGAGGCACCTGTGACAAGCGCACCAGACTCTTTGACCATAGCAATGTGGACGAGAACGAAGCCCGCCTCGGATGAGGTGGGATCCAAACCGTGCTCGAAAGCGCGGATCAGGCGAAGGTTGTCGTACTCGAGGCCCCGTGATGGATCTTCCAGACGGTAGTTGAAGAGCGCATACGATCCAGCATACTCCATGAACGGCTTGAAGCCAGCACTGCGCACGCGGTAATGTCAGCCATGTCGTCTACCCTATGATGTATTGTGAAGGTGACTGCGTGGCCAGGTTCTGTTTGGAAGCTGCCATGCCAAGCTAAGGAGACGAGGACATAAGACCAGGACCACATGAGGATAGGAGAAAGTATTGCCACTTACATCTCAGCAACCTTGACGATGGGTAGTGCGATACATCTCGGCAGCGATTGTCGACCCAGACCATACTCCTCTCCCCTTACATGCCTCTCATGGCAAGGCTCGAAGAGATATGCAGAAGCCAAGAAAGAGTAGTCACGATACAGGGCGTTCATGACAACCAGGTCATCGCGATACTTCTCTACCTCTGGGGTAAGGTCAGGAAGCTCCTTGAGTACGGTGTCGCCGAAGGTGAAGCTGGCAAGTAGGCCTGGCTCTCCTGACAGTGTCTTGATGGGCATGCGTTGCAAGATAGACTCAAGAGCAGCGAACTCCTTTGGTAGTTCAACGATAGGCTCTTGACGAGGAAGGAAGCCACGTGTGGTGGATACCATGAAGGCGGGGAGGGTGCGGTCATCAGGACGGGTGT